CGGAGGACTTTCCAGGACTATGAGTAGCCACAGGCACAGCAACAGCTCTTCAGGCAACAAATTCCTGTGATACAATATTGTATATTACATCCCATGGTGTAATATTTACGTTGTAAGTAGTCACTAAAAACACCTTAACATTGGGGATTCTGACAGTTTCTTTGGTGTGTACTCATAGAATCATAGAATGGTTAGAGTTGGAAGGGACCTTAAAGATCATCAAGTCCCAACCCCCCTGCCATGGGCAGGGACACCTCCCACTAGAGCAGGTTGCTCAAAGCCCCATCCAGCCTGGTCTTGAACCCTTCCAGGGATGGGGCATCCACAGCTTCCCTGGGCAACCTGTTCCAGTGTCTCACCACCCTCACAGTAAAGAATTTCTTCCTAATATCTAATCTAAATCTCCCCTCTTCCAATTTAAAACCGTTACCCCTTGTCCTGTCACTACACTTCCTGACAAAGAGTCCCTCCCCATCTCTCCTGTAGGCTCCCTTCAGACACTGGAAGGCCGCTATAAGGTCTCCCCAGAGCCTTCTCTTCTCCAGGCTGAAGATCATGCCGTAAAAGCACTTGTAGTTCTTTTCCTGTTTCACCAAAAGGACTGGAGGCTTTATCTGGCGTTTAAATTGTGTTTGTGAGCTTTCTGTCCATTTTTCCTTGCATGGGTGAAAACACTGGTGAGGAGTCATCCTTTTTCCCTGCTCTAGTGGAGGTGTCCCTGCCCATGGCGGGGGGGTTGGAACTTGATGATCTTTAAGGTCCCTTCCAACTCCAACCATTCTGTGATTCTATGATTTTTACAGTTCCTGCCACCATAAACAAAGCCATACTGAGGTACATGCATGTCTGTAAGGCGTTTTTACTTGATGTATCATGTTTTTTTTTCCTTTGTTTCCAGATTTACAAGGGTCCGGAGTGGTCGTTCCGATACACAGGCCTCCAGCTGAACTGTGAGTACCGTTTCCGCGCCTGTGCCATTCGACAGTGCCAAGAGACAGCAGGTCACCAGGACCTGGTGGGCCCCTACAGCACCCCCGTGCTATTCATCTCTCAGAGGACTGAGCCGCCGGCCACCACCACCAAGGACACTGTGCAAACCACAAGGACGCAATGGTCACAGAGCGACCAGGTGTGCGCTGCCGTCATCCTTGCACTTTTTGCTATCTTTTCCATCCTGATCGCTGTTATCATTCAGTACTTCGTAATAAAGTGAAGAGGTTGACTTTGAGAACCGCTGCCCATTACATTTTACTTTCTCATACTCTAAAAAGTAATTCTGTTCTCTCGCTTTTTGACAAAACCAGGCATTTAGCACCGGCATTGGGACTGATGCAAACCTTTTCAGCCACTTTAAGATGCTTACTGGTAGGTGTAGGCTGGCGCACGTTACTAGAACGCAAGCCACAGAAATACAACCTTTTCTTTAATATGCCTTCTTGCAGTACAAACTCTCTCTGGGGCAGGCAAGCAGTGTTTAACGAAAAGGCTTTGACCAGTAAACGCGAGTGTAAAAAAAAGAAATAAATCAAAACAAATAAAAGGTTTCCTGGCCTACACTTTGAAGGGTTGCTACCATTAACAGGGAAGAATGTGTAGATCGCATTTAAAACGTACACTAACAAACTTGTGCTGTATACAATGTTAATCCGATGCTGTGAAAGCAATTTAGCGCTGTATTTCTACCTCCTCATTTGTCTTAATTATTTGGGAAGCAGGATTTATGCTGAAAAAACGGAAGGGGCTTTTCTCAGGCAGCAAATAATAAACTGGATGGAAGAGTATGCATGAAGGAAGCTTCTTATCTGATAAATGTGGAGTTCTTCACTGCAAGTAGATGTTTTCGAAAGACTTACAAGGGGATGGCACAAGTGGTTTATCTTGCCCCCAGGATTTGATGTTTACTTACAAAAAAATGCCTCTTTTACTTCTTACAAATATAGAAGGGAGAGTGTGAGAGAACTTTCTTAGACTTATTATTTAAATCGAAAAAACCACATCTCCCAAGTTGACCTTTGATCGGATGCAGTTTATACAGATGTCTGTGCCCTCTGATTTTGGCTGGTTGATAGATTTTTGAGATCAAATTCATGATTGCAATTTTGCTGTTTCCCCGACATTCACTTGCCATATCCACCAGAATCAAGCACTGCCTTTTTTTTGTTGTTTTTGTTTGTTTGTTTGTTTGTTTGTTCTTTCTTCCTTCCTTCCTTCCTCTCTTTTCTTTCTTTGGGGCACCAAATCCGAAGACGAAGTGTAGTAATTTGCACCAGAAAACTTAAAGCTGCTTTTTTTCTCGAGATCCTGATGTTTAATGTAATGTCTCTTTGGATACTGTACCAAATTGTTGATTGCATGTAGTTAATGTTGCATTAGAGCACTTTGCAATTGCATAACTCATCAATGTTTTGTGAGCTTGCATTTGTGGGTTCTTGAATGACCAGACTGAATTTTTATCAAGTATCCCATTGAACATCTTGCTAGATGTCAATGATCGCCAGTGACATAAAGCTTGTAGTGAAACTATCTTTAAAAGAAAAAAAAAAAAAACTCCTTGTCTCATCACACTTACGTTATTTGTTATACACTTTGTAATTAGCTATTTTTAATTTATTTGAGTTACAAGATAGTGGATCATTAATGACTTCTAGTTGTGTTCAGTTTAGCATTTTTAATGGTATTAAACACTTCTGTCGGTCTTAATAATAATAAAAAAAACAAGGAACCTCTGTCTTGTGCTTTGAAGATCTCTGAAGAATTTCTCTTATATTAGAACGGGCATGTATTGTAATTGTTTATATGTCCAATGATCTGTGCTGTAGAATAATGTCACTGAGTTTCGTTTCTTTTTTTTTTTAAAAAAAAGAAAAAAAAAAAAGAACTGGCAAAGAACTTGGCCTCCACGTGGCGAGAACGATCTGTCTTTAAAATGTACTGTATGTTTACATTTTATTTCGAATCTGTCATTTGTACGTATAGGCTGATACCTTCCCGCAGGATACCGCGATAAACTGATGTTTTCTAGAACCTTCTTAAAAGTGCCATGTTTGGCAGTGCAAATGAGGTTGCGTGTAACAGCCCAGAGATTTCTTACGGTTGAATGTCTAAAACGGTAAGATTTGTTACTACAGTTAAATCTGCAGTGACTTATGTTTTTCATAGTAAAATTCAAATGAGCTCCTATTTTTGATAGTCATTTAATAGTGTATTTGCCATTTGAGCCTCAGTGCGTATTACTGCATTGAAGACAGTTTTTAATGTAATCTTAATTTTACCTCATATACTGTACATTCCAAAAACAAATTTAAAAAGAAAAAAAAAAAAAAGGAAAAAAAAATGAAAAACTCTAAACTTTTTAAAACGTTATAGATAACACTACCAAACATATCACTTTACAATTGTACAACGTCGGGCTCCATGAAGACGAACCTGTATAGTCTGATATAGAAAATACATAAACTATGTAGCAAAGTATCTTTAAAAAAAAAAAAATCTGTGGAAAATAAAAGCATCATTCTTTTTCGCTGTTGTCGGTCCGTCCTGTTGGCCTGTCCCCCACCGGCTTGGAAGCGCTTTTCCCTTCCCGAGCGGCGGGGCCCGGCTCCCCGCGGGGCGGCTGGGAGCGGTGAGACCCGTTCCCCTCGGGACGGTGTCCCGCTTCCCTCGGGGCAGCGCTGCCCGGCGGTGCCCGGCTCCGCTCAGGCGCCGCGGGGAGAGCACCCGGCTTCTCTCAGGCGCCGGGAGAGCGGCGGGGTCCAGCCCCCCCCAGGCGCCGCGGGGAGAGCACCCGGCTCCCCTCAGGCGCCGAGAGAGCGGCGGTGCCCGGCTTCCCTTAGAGCTGTGGGGTGGCGGTGCCTCGCTTCCCTCAGGTGCCGGGGCAGCGGCGGTACCCGGTTCCTCTCAGAACCGTGCCCGGCTCCCCTCAGGCGCCGGGAGAGCGGCGGTGCCCGGCTTCCCTCAGGGCTGTCGGTGGCGGTGCCTCGCTCACCTCAGGTGGTGCGGGAGGCGGTGGTGCCCCGTTCCCCTCAGGACGGTGCCCCGCTTCCCTCAGGGCAGCGGTGCTCGGTGGTGCCCGGCTCCCTTCAGGCGGCGGGGCCCGGCTCCGCTCAGGGCGGCGGGAGAGCGGCGGTGCCCCGCTCCCGTAGGGCGTTAGGGGCCGGCGGCGTCCCGCTCTCCTCAGGAGGCTGGTTCCCGCCCCGCTCAGGCGCCGCGGGGAGAGCACCCGGCTCCCCTCAGGCGCCGAGAGAGCGGCGGTGCCCGGCTTCCCTTAGAGCTGTGGGGTGGCGGTGCCTCGCTTCCCTCAGGTGCCGGGGCAGCGGCGGTACCCGGTTCCTCTCAGAACCGTGCCCGGCTCCCCTCAGGCGCCGGGAGAGCGGCGGTGCCCGGCTTCCCTCAGGGCTGTCGGTGGCGGTGCCTCGCTCACCTCAGGTGGTGCGGGAGGCGGTGGTGCCCCGTTCCCCTCAGGACGGTGCCCCGCTTCCCTCAGGGCAGCGGTGCTCGGTGGTGCCCGGCTCCCTTCAGGCGGCGGGGCCCGGCTCCGCTCAGGGCGGCGGGAGAGCGGCGGTGCCCCGCTCCCGTAGGGCGTTAGGGGCCGGCGGCGTCCCGCTCTCCTCAGGAGGCTGGTTCCCGCCCCGCTCAGGCGCCGCGGGGAGAGCACCCGGCTCCCCTCAGGCGCCGAGAGAGCGGCGGTGCCCGGCTTCCCTCAGGGCTGTCGGTGGCGGTGCCTCGCTCCCCTCGGGTGGCGGGAGGCGGTGGTGCCCCGCTCCCCTCAGGTGCCGGGGCAACGGCGGTAGCCGGTTCCTCTCGGAACCGTGCCCGGCTCCCCTCGGGCGCCGGCAGAGCGGCGCCGCCCCGCTCCCTCCAGGCGGCGAGGGGCGGCGGTGCCCCGCTCCCCTCAGGGCTGTGGGGTCGGCGGTGCCCGGGTCCCCTCAGGGCGGCGGGGCGGGG